AGCTACCGATTTCCTACAATAAATCTTTGTACCTATATATATCTTTTATTTTTCTAGTTAAATGCTAATTTTGTTCGTGAAAAGTATTCGTCTGACACAAATAAAAGACGCAAGTAATAAGTAGTTCCTACATTTTTCTGTAAAGGTACATGTATTTAAAAAAAAGGATTATATATAAGACAATTATATAAGACAACTTAGACCGTTGGATAACATAAAACTGCAAAGATTAACATGAAAAATATAATCCGTCAAATGGATTTTACCTCCATTTAGATCGATCAAGTATTTATCGATAATTTCTGTTATCTTATTGAAGTTATTACAGCTTTTCTAAAAAATACAGAATTATTTAATTAGTTTTGTATTAACCGTTTCTTGTTCCTCCAGAACGATTGAAAATTATCTTAAAATAAAATTCTGTACTTTAATCTACTTAACAGAATATTTGAAAACAGCCGAGTCATTTAATGTTTTTATGTATTAATAGAATGGAATGTGAGAGAGAGCGTAGAATTATATTATAAAGTCAAGAATTTTTAGCGTCCAGATTACTGACTTCTACTCGTATAAATAGACTGTCAATTTCACCTTCATGTTTAAAGTTTGAAGCTCTGGGCAGCGACATATTTGTATTTACTCACTCTCACATATACAAATTACACGGATAATAACGTTAGTGTTTTCACATAAATTCACGCGATACTCACAGACAGGACGCATACATACGCATATGTAACTGAAACAAGGATAGCTCGGAGAAATAGAAACTATAAACGTTCTTCTACCATTACATATCCTCATATTGAACAGATTTTCATTCAATAAGATTATATTTAGCAAAAAGGAAAAAACGGAAAAGCGAAAAAATTTCTCGCGCATCGAGTAATTGTGCGCATGGGTTGGATAATTGTGCGCAAAGTAAAAGTCGTAGGAAATGAATGAATTATGGAATATTGACAAAGAAATCAGAAAATATATTTATTATATTGTAATATAAATATATATTAAATATATTTTAAATATATACGTATATTATATATATTAAGCAAAAATATAAAACTAATATAATAATAATGCACGTAGACTTTGGCAAAATAAATGGTAAAATAAAATAATAATGCAAAAAAAAACGAAAAAATTAGTGCTAGTCATATAGATAGTATATGAAAGATGGGTAATTGTGCGCATTTCAAAACGCTTGCCGCACAGTTGCCCGCCGCGACCTAACTCGATATGAAATACGATTATTTCAACATTTCTTAACCAAACTTAATAAATAACAGCTCAAAAGACGCACATAATAACATATTTTAATAACGTATGCAACTTTAAACAAACGAATTAAAAATACAGACTTACCACCTTATTTTCTGAATGCTAAAATAACAAGAAAAGATGATTTCACTTTTTTGTACTTCTCTGGATAGCAACGTATTTACGTCGTATCTCTTGTAGTTATATCTTAAGAGGACGACCTCTTGCATAAAAATTTCATCATAATGATGTCTTTTCATCCATTGGAAAAGTACCAAACCAGGATGCGCACAATTATACTCGCTGCGCACAGTTCCCCTATTCATTTTGATAATGTAGGTGTAGGATCTTTGAATGTGGACGCAAGCTCGGCTCGCAGCTCGATGTTCGACTCGATAATTTGAACGCACCCTTTATATTCCTGTTCATTAATTCAGATATTCATTATTATATCCGTTATATATTAATTTATTAAATTGTATTGAATTAAACAAAAAGAACCTATTAAAGTGAAATTTATGTAAATTGAAATTAAAATTCCAGAAGAAATTTACAATTCTGTTTTCCTTAATTATAATGTTGGCTATTGTGTGTGCATTGTGAAAAATATTTAATTCTCGCATTAATATTTTATTAGTAATCATTTATAAAATCTGTTTTAAAAGTTTTAACAGTTTATTCGAATATGAACGTTGCTATGTTATTTAATTTAGTGTTAATTAGTAGTCTCTTAATAATCTCTCATGATAAATTAGATAATACGAACAAATGACAAATTAAAATGTTTAAATATACAATTGAGCTTTGAAATGAATGTCTGCTTTGGCAAGAGATAGGACAACGGAAGATCCTACGGATACGACTGCCCTCAAGCATAGCAAAAGCCTCATTATTTTCGTGATCCAGGAACGAATAAATTTCACCCTCGACGGAAAGCTTATGCGATATGATCTACAGCTACTAGATATGCTGCAATCTGAGGTGGATTTCGCGTCCGAGTAAGGTCATCGTTTTGAAGAGATAATGAAGCAGGTTCCACGTTCCAACGAACGTGATCATCTGACTAGATGAGAAGAAAATGATGACGCAGCCAAATGCTGTTGGTTATCTAGTCGTTGACTTTTCTTGGGGCAGGAGACAGGTGATCTTGTAACTGCTAAATGTTGCTTCCGATTTATACTTACACTACTTACATACGTGTACGCAATTTCATAAAAGTTAAAGAAATTTACTATAATAAATATATTCAGCGCTTTTGTTTGGATATATCGAAGAAAAGGAGTGTATTAATTACAGTATATACAAGGTGTTCCAAAATTTATGCATTTGGAATATAGAACATGATACTTTATGCTAAAATAAACAACTTTTTCCTTTAGCAAAATTGCGTCCGACGAATAGTTTTTACAGGAGAGCAGGTCAAAGTTAAACGAATGAGCGCTCTTCATGGTTATGTGACGCTCAAGCCGGCGCGCGCTCCTCACTTACATATAGGGTAAAAGACCATATTACTAACAGTGTGTATTACTGTCAATCAAAATTAAAATGCATTTTGAGGTGAAAAAAATATATCTCATTGTTTTATTAATTTTTAATAGAATTTGTAATATATCTAATTTTTATTACAATAGTTAACTGAAAATGAAAACCAATCCTTTAATTACAAATAAAACTTAAAGTTCGAGAAACGCATTTTTCTGCTGAATTATATCCATTTTTATTAGTAAAGTGGATAATAAGTAATTGCAAAGATGAGCGATTGTAGGAAAATTTGATCAGTAAGTCAAACGAAAACTCATTTTTCTGATGAAATAATATTGAAATAAAAAGAAAAAAATTAAATATTGAATAAATTTATTAATTTGTATATAATGTATTCATTAATGCCAGTAATATATTCACTTTTTTGTATTTTTCCTAATACTGTCAACAGTATTATAGTCATCAATCACGAAGTGAGCATAATACTGGCGTCTCGTAAAGACAGATAATACAACCTCAATCTGTCAATATCGACGTGTGTCGTGTGTATCCTTAGGTACCCAAGACTCAAGATTGCTCGAATCATCGAATCTTTTCGAAGGTATTATTATTGTAACACTATTATTCCAATACTAAATATGTTAGATATTATTCTAATACATTGGATATTATTCTCAAATATTATTCTCAAAATATTATTCTCGAATATTATTCTCAAAATTAAAATCGTTAAAAAAAAAATAAAAAGGCTATCTACGTTATTATTTACTACTGTTATACTATTATTACTTAAAAAATGTATTTTATGAAAAACGTAGTTTCCGAATGATTAATTTTATGTTCCATTTATTAATAATTGTAAATCTACTGTAAAACACAAAGAGACTAAGTTTACAGTAATTTAATATGAAAAACTGTCAGTAATTTTATCTGGTTGCTAGTATTATGAACAACGAAATTTTAAGGCTGCCAATATTAGGTGCAACTAAGTTTGGTCTTTATTTTATTAAATAAAAAAAACCAGTTAATTTTATTTAAACTCTTTTATTTTATTTGTAAAGTTCATAATTGAAATAATTAAAAAAAAATTTTTTTAATACTTAAATTATCATTAATTGTATAAATATACTAAATCAAATATGACTAAACGCTTAATATACCAGTAATATGGTCTTTTACCCTATTCTTTGGCTAATATTGATAATTAATGTCTTAAGATGCTTATATGGCTTTATTATGATTAGTTTATCTTAAGATTACGTAAGACTACTTAAGATAGTCTTAAATAACAAGAATCAACTATTAATACCGGCCGTGACTTTCTTGCGTATTGCATTGCTCAAAATACGAAGTTTCGAAATCGTGAACTTGCCCCCCCTCCCTCCGAAACTTCAAATGGTGTTTTCATCGCTTTAATCGACGGAACTCTTTCTAAAATTGATAGAGAACTCTAGAATTCTTCGGGGGGCAACCAGAACTCTGCTTATTTTTTCAAAATTTTGAAAATGAGGGGCCAGCTTCACAGAGGTCAAAAAAGCGTCTGCGAGCTTTATAATCTGTTACTAAGTTATACGTGAAAGGTTACACTTTCAACATTTTTTTTCCTCTCTTATTTCATCGTTACCTACCATAGAATTTTGCACAAGTCGATTTCGGTACTTCAACTTCATTATATTAAAAAATTAGTCATTTTTATCATTTTTATGATAACTCGATGTACTAAAGAACCACCTTAAAACGTTATAATAATGCAAGAAAAATTTAAAAATTACATAAAAAAGGAAAAAAGATAATATTTATGACATTATTTATTAATATTAATCAAAGACCATGATATAAAGCAGAGCTGTCCAAGGTCGATGTTTTTTGGCTTGAAATCGAAATGTGTCGGTATTCACACCTATTACCGTTCCTACTCCTTAATTCATTGCTATTTTGTCGTAGCGTGTGACCCTCGGTCTCAGGTACGACACTAGTTTGAAATCATTAAAAACTTTTAACCTGTCTTTCACTATGTTTAAAAGTATTCTTCATCGTGCACTACGACAAAATAACAATGAAGTGAGGAGTAGGAACGGTAATGGGCGTGAGCACCGACACATTTCAATTTCAAGCCAAAAAACACCTTGGACAGCTCTAATATAATAACAAGGATATACTCATCTTATGGATGCGCAGTAGCATTCAGTCAGCTTACGTCACAATCGTGCAAATTCGGTTACTTTCGGAGTGCTCGGCTGACACAAAATCTGGCTGTCTCTTACCGTAGAGACACAAGTGTGAGTTGCAAACGAGTGCCTGTGGCGATTCATTGCCCATTCTTCAAAAATAAATTACATAAGAATCTTGAACAGAGCCGTTATATATATGTTTTTTCTTTGATTTGTGAAGAAAGTACAAAAAAATTTTCGGTTAATCACGTATTTTTCCAGGTAGGTAAGTGATGTGAATTGTTTTTTATGAAAAATATTAATTGTTATTAAAAAATATAAAATCGAGAGTGGCGAGAGTATAAAGCTACATAATTTGAACAATATCATTAATATCAACGTACATGTGCACTGCGTATTTCTTTACAAAGAAGTAACACATTATTTTTTCAAATTATACGTGATACGTATAATTTGTAGTATAAGTTATTTGAATTTAGCGACGAAAAATCATGTTTTAAAAATGAATCTTATTGTAAGATGTTGTAATTCAAAGCTGTAAGTTACGGTATTGAGTAAACGAATTTCGAATTTATCGCTTAATGATGACCCAGTCAGGGTACATTTTTGATTGGTTGTCTGGAATTATCATGCGTGTGAGCATACCCTCTTTATACTATGCCAAAGACTAAGTAAGTGAGAAGCGAGCGCTAAAGCTCTAGATATATCAAAGTAGCGCTTTTTATCTGAGCCGAAATGCCGACATCTTTCCTACTGGCTATTTTGGCCGCCATTTTCGATTTAGTTGTCTGTAGTCCAATAAGCGCTTAGTATTATTGATATATGATATGGTTAGTAAGTCGAAAATGGAGGACCTTTACGCTACTTTGGTTGGTTCTGTACTCCGAATGCGCGAATTTTAGGACACTCTGTGTACATATATATATATATATAACATATATATATATATCTCAAAATAGTATGTACCTAATTAATGAAAATAATTACATAACACATTTTGTGTCCAGCAATAATAAGATAGAACACATACCTAATAGATAAGAAATGAATGATATATTTGAGGAGCATTTGAGGAACTTTCAAAATGTGTTTTGTCCAAAATTTGTAATTTTCAGAAAACGAGAAAGAAAGAAACTCCGCACACAAAAAAATTACGCACTTTCTTTACAGAAAATAACAATATGTCAATCAGTAGGGTGAAATATTAAACAAAATTGCTAAATAATTACTAAAAATATTAAACAAATGCATTTTGTTTGTCTCTAGTTAAAAAACATAATGCACTTCGTTTTTTCAGCATATTAAATTAATGATAAAAAAATGCTTTCTGAATATCTCAGAATAGCTTATAATGAGTCTTTCAACACTGAACACTATCCATCTCTAACTAAAAAAATGAAATTTTGGACAAAATGCATTTTGGAATTCTGCTCTTCATTTATATCATAATGTATACATTTATGCGTATATAACGAACAGTACATATTAAAATGAGTATTATCAATACATCCAGCCCCAATGATCTTGACTTTGACATATGTTATCAAGAACATGACCCTGAAAGACCTTTAGATTTTATCATATATGTATAAGTTGTCGCTCGTTGTTTATTAAGAAGTATTAACAGTCAAAAAGTTTTACTTACAATTAGTTTAAATATAGCATTATTGGCATATTTGCATGCTACATACGTATCTATACGTTATCATGATCAGAATGTATGAAATATAAAATAGGCTAGTTTTTGCAACTTTGCTCCGTAAAAACTGTATTTGCGATTGAGTAATCAGTTAATTAAAAAGCTTGCCTAATCTAAACTCATGTAATTAGGGTTGAACTCGCTTCGTGTGAAAAGTTGTAAACTCACGTAGAACCTCGGTCCGTATAGATTTAGAATTTTCCATGCGAAAATAAATATTGTATTACTGTTCAAAGTATTACAGAGAATAATCAACTTTGATTTTTAATAACTTTTTAATAAACAACAAGCGACAGCTAAAACTTTCTGAAAATTATTAAATAAACGACAAGCAACATCTATAACTTTCTGAAAAATATGTCAAGATATTTAGGGTTATTGTCTCATGTTAATATGTACGTGATGAATAGCAAATATGTACATACTGAATAAATACATAATACATGTTTACCGAAAAATAAATAAATATTCAGACAGATTTATTCAAGCAGTTTACATTTAAAATAAGGAAGTTATATTGTATTGATTTTCAATGTTGGACAATTAGAAAAGGAAGGAAAGGAGTTATATATAGAATACCGTTTTGTTTTATTGAAATATATATTCATGTAGAGGTAGATATTCTATGTAGATGTGACAAAACAAAACTTTGGTATAAAGTTAGCCACAGAATACTAGTATTACCTATTATATTGTAAGTGAAAGTTCTTTAGGTAATTTATAAAAAATTAAAGAAGAGTAAAAAAAGATACGGTTATGGAATAAGAAAGGGGATATATGGATTATCAATTAGTATATAATATAACTTTAACGTCGGATACATATACACGTTTCGTTACTAAATTTAGTTTAATTCTATTATTTGAAAGCCACATTCAAGGCCTTCAAGCTAAAATAAAGTTACAGAATTTATATTAACATATCCTATTTATATTAACAACTCCTCAAAATAAGGTAAAAATATAACATCTGTAAAACTGTCAGTTGTGTAACCTAATCTTACCTGTAAAATTGAAATACAGCTTTTATGCAGTAAACGCTATCAGTGGCCACCATATTATATGGTCTATGGCTCAATTGCACCAACATTACTTTGACTTTAAGCAAAACTTAAAACGCTCTCTGTCTCATTTTAAAACGAAAGTGAGACAGAAACAGAGAGAGTTTTAAGTCTTGTTTAAAGTCAAAGTAACATTGGTGCAATCGGGCCTAAGCAGACTGTAAAAGAGTAATTTGAACGATCGCTCCTAGAATGCAACGCAAACTACAAGATATCATGATGCGATTTATCTATTCCAACCATCTTCTTTCTTGTACTGGCGCAAATGATAGGTGAATGTACAGCTTAGTGACTAACCGAAATTAGATGGGACAGTTCTAAATTTTAACTTTGACCACTCTCAAATTTTGTTTCAAATTAAGAACATAATTACTAATTATCTTTTTTTTAAGTGTGAAATAATAAGTGAAAATAATAAGTGTGAAATATAATTTTTAACTGTGAAAAATTTTATGATTTTTTATTTAAAAACTCAGATATTTATAAAATACATTCAGCAGAAAAATTCAATTTTAAAAAATAAAATATAATCTCGTAACTTAATGTAATTTTTGTTGTGTATGTAGTATAACATCACATCTCACACTGAGACAAAAAATATAGTAATGGTAACAAAATAAGAGAATTATTCACTGGCCGATTATCATTGGATTATTTTGTTAAAATAATAAAATATATAATAATATTTTTTTGTTACACATGAACAAAATTTTTTTATTTAACAATACAAATTTATTTGGTTACTTATATTTTGTAAATAACAATGTAAAATTTGGTTGCTATTAAAAAATAAGTATCTTTTAGTATTTTCAACAAAATAATCCACTATGATAGAGCGAGGATCATTTCATAGAGCTGTCAAAGATGACGTGTGTTCTCAAATTCAAATTCAGTTGTGTCAATTTTTGCCCTTGTGTTGTTTTTTTTTATGATCCTGCCAGCTTAAATATTAAATTAGCAGCGCCACTATTTTCTTGGAAATAACACATAATATAGAATTGTTTTTTAGTAGTACAAAATAGTATAAATGCAATCCTATTGATTTCTGATATTATTTTTCTTTTTTTCTTTTCTTTTGGATTGGTCTTACCAGCTTAATATTAAGTTATATAGCACAGCTATGATTTTTTTCGAAATGGCACACGGTACAAAATTACCATTAATGGTACAATTTAAGTATAAAATGAATACTAAAAATTCCGATAGGTCCGATTTAATTCTGCTGATTTGGTCCTGCTAGCTTTATAGAGCTGTATTATTTTTCTTCTTACAATTAGTCCTGTTGTTTGTGGTCGAGCATGGTGACTTCTCTTATATGCCTGTGGTGCGCACGCCGGTTGTACATAGTCGTATGGAACCTACAGTTTAATGTCTATTCCGAACGACGAATTGGTAGAGAAGTTTCTAGGGCAAGTATACTACTCAGTGGTTTACCATTGCCTTCCGAGAGGAGCTACGTTCGAAAATTTTCGGTTCTGCCGAGAATCGCATCCGGGATCTCTAATATACTAGTGCGTTCTCTGCTACGCCACGCTCGCGCTTATATTATAAATATTTTTTATAGTTATTTACAAATATAATAATATGATTTTGTTTATGTGTTTTGTTAATAATTATATGTTTAAAAAATATTTCTATTAAAAAATTTAATTAAGGAGTTAGTCACCTTGACGTACAATTACAATTGCGAGTCTCGATGACATGTCGAAAATATAGCGGTTGTGACTGAGCCAAATAAATAATAGATTACGATTATCGATACCGAAAGAGAACAAAATCTTCAAGACATCTTGGAAAGTTTGTGGATCGCATGAAGAATGCGAATCAATTAATTTTTTTATTCAGATGAAGATTAGCGATATTTAAGTGTTGATTTGATGGCCGTTTTTTTCAAAAGAAAATAAAGCGAGAGATTTCTCACGTTGAATTCTGAATTTTGAATAAGGTGAATTATCGGTTAGAATCTTTTTGAACTAAAATCTTTTTAATCATAAAAAGTTAAAACCGGTACAGAAGAGTTTTCAATCAACAATGTGTTGATGAATTATTAAACTACACTTATCGTGAATATTAATGAAATGTATAATAATAATATATACATAGAGAATTTTTCAATTATTATTAATTAATTATAATAAATAAATAAAAAATGCAGGATCTGAAGATATGATAGTGTCTCGGCGCTAACATAATTTTACAGCGAAAAATAATACAAACAGATGAGCATCACATACGGAAATTAATGAGTGGAATTAGCCGATTTCCATGAAAAGAAGCAACTTTTGTAAGAAACGTGCCTCCATCGCGAGTTAACAAATTTCTGATTGTCAATTTTTCGTGGGAACGTGCGCAGAATATCGTGGGCATACTTCCGTGTCCAGACGTGATTTTTTCGCGTTCTTTCAACCGTTTCCTTTCTTTCTTTTTGTTCGTTTCCGATTTCCGTTCCGCATCAAGACGTCGAAAACAATGAAGCGGAGATTGCCATGAGGCTTCGAAGAA